CCAGAAATGTCCCATTCGCGCATCTCTCTTGAATGGAGACTGGGGGGGGGGGGCGTCTCGCGTCGAGCAATGAACCGGGAAAAAAAAGCGCGCTGCGCCGCGGCGACGGAAAAATGCGATGTGCTAGCGAACTGATGGCGACGTGGAGAAATCCGTTGAAACCCGTCGCGGGTTTGCGTCGCCTCCGGCCAAGTCCGCCGCGCGCCCAGTCATCGGGCACCCAGGCCGCTATCTTCCGATCGAGCGCCGCAGCGTGAGGAGTGCTGCCCACCGCGCGCGCGATATTACTCCCTCGTCGTCTACCTCCACTCTCTGTTTGCCTTTCTTCGGCGGTCTCGTCGCCTGAGCAGCGCGCCGCGCGCGGGGCCAATGGTTGCGACGTCTGGGGAAGAAAAGTATGGCTCGCAATGCGCCCGAACCGCCATGGGCGGCCGATGCTCATCCGCGCCGAAGCCAATGCCTGCGTTGGCCTCCGAGGAGTCACCCATGTAAAAGCAAGTGCCATTCTCGATGCGTCTGCGGGAATGCCCTTGGCTGATCCGTCTCCGAAGTTTCACTATCCAATCATGCCGCGGCAGAAACCCCCCATCTTCGGCAGATAGGTACATGGCATCTTCATCATAATCTCGACTGTCGCGCTGTTAGTCTAGGATTTCCTGCCCAATCTCGTCGAGCGTAGTCTCTGCGGCAGAACAACCTCCTTGCCTCGAGGGCAATGCTGTCCACATTCGTCAACCTCTGGCCGATGCCGCTGGGGATGGTAGAGCGGCGAACTTGCGTTGGCGAGGGCCTCGTCACTTTTCAACGATCCATCTGGCCAGTTTATGATCAGGATAGCTCTTGTTTGACTTCGCGGCCTGGTTGAGCTCCTCCTCTCGGCGCTCCGTTATATTAGTCCACTGCACTACTGTATGGCCGTCCGCTTCACGGCTTTGCTGATGTGTTGCGCAGGTAGGGATACCACCTGAAAGTGCTGATCCAGCAACGAGTCCGATCTCGCTAATATCGAGCTCCTTCGGCAATACAACTTTTGCCTAAGTAATGCAATGTGTTCAATGCGCGACTCTGTATAACAATGGCACTTGTAAAGTACTGTGGCCAGCGCCTGATTCACAAGGTTGACAGCTTCTCTATTCATGTTGTAGATATCTTCTCGCGTTTCCATCTCGTTGAGCTCGTCGTTCTGTAGACATGCCGAACTCCCCAGTTCGTCGAACAAGTCTTGCCTCTAGTATCAATACTGCAGGCAACCAAAAAGGGTTTCACAGTCAGGTCTGTGCTCTCTGGCTGGCGATGGCCGCGCAGAAAAATTGATGCGCACTGACATCTGAAATTGACGGTGGTCTTGAGTTCGGTGTTTGTGTGTGTGGTGTAAAAGTATTGCTCGTCCCGCTGCACACATGACTTGGCAGTTTCCACAATCTGCAGCAGTTCCTGCGGTACACAAATATGATCCATGTAGGACTCCGCGCTGTTACCCATGTGCGAGAGAGGGTTGGCGGAGGACGTGTTGGCCGCACTCATATGCGATCCTGTCAAAACGGGGTGCAACACTATCGAAGTCGTGGGCTCTCGTCCACATTCGTGAGAGCCTGCAAATTTCTTTTGTGTTGCAACAAGGGCCGCCAGTCAAGCCGGTACACATCAAAGGATAACTCCGCCACCGAAGCATCTCTTGAAACACTCCAATCATCCAGTCAAAATTCAGCTGCATCATCTTTTCGTATATCGGCCGTGGCGCTCGTGATGTCCGCGCGGGCGGGAAGTACATGCGGATGATCCATGCCAAACCAATACAGACTGTAATGTAATAGCTCCGCATTGTCCCCAAGGCTGCTTCGGGGTGTCGTGCACACGCTTGAGCGAGCTGCGACTATATCGATAAATGTCAAGCGAAACGTGATGCCGCATGCGTGTGAAATCAAGGGTCCTCTCTTGCTTCCGAATTCAACATTCCAATGCTTTTGAATCGACCTGTCCGAACGATCTTGTTTGCGTGCCAATCAAAGCGTGCACGTCCCTCTTGGGTGAGCAGCACACGATGTCCAGCTGACGTTCGTGTGTGTGTTCGCGGGACAGGGATTGTACCGAATGGCGCGTAATAGCCCGCCCACGGTCGACATCGCGGGCAGAGCGGGCAGAAACTGCCGCCACGGGCTCCGAATGAGAGCGCATGCAGCCCGAATGTGTGTACGTTACGCGGTGTGCGGGAGGTGGGCGAAGGTGTGGCGTTCGGGTCGGGGGCCGCGTGGAGAAGGAAAGGGAGGAGGAGGAGGAGGAGGAGGAGGAGGAGGAGGAGGAAGAGGAAGACAACGATGTGAAGGCGAGGGAGGAAGATGGCCTCCTCTTCCTCTTCCTCCTCCTCTTTCTGGCGGAATAAACGGGTATCGATGCCACTACTCCCTCGACCTCCCCAGGGGTGCATTCTTGCCAACAGCTTGAGGCAACGAGGAAGCGGTAGCGCTATCGGCATCGTTTCCTTCGCCTCTCCCTCCTTCTCTTCCCTCCTCCTCGCCACCCTCCTTCTCCTTCACCTCGTCTTCCTCCTCCATGCCTTCTCTTTCTAGATAACTTCTTCCTGTCGCACCACGAGGCAATTTTTTAGGGCGGCCCGGGCGTTTCGCCAGAGCCTTCCTCACCACTTACGAATCTGAAGTTTAACGGTGGCAACCGTTTCTGATATGGAAGGCGGGTCGCTTTTGAAATGTGGCTCTCGCCTTAGCGCCGCGCACATTCGTTTTAACATTATGCAGACAATTGTCACCGATTGAGGGCGGGTCGTTTTCAAAATGTGGCTCCCGCCTTAGCGCCGCGCCCATTCGTTTCAAATTTTTGCAAGAGTGTCACGGAATGAGGGCGGGACGTTGTCAAAATGTGGCTCTCCCCTTAGCGCCGCGCCCATTCGTTTAAGAATGCAATGGTTTCACAGATTGAAGGCGGGTCGTTTTCAAAATGTGCCTCTCGCATTAGCGCCGCGCACACTCGTTTTAAACATTGCAAGGGTGTCACGGATTGAGGGCGGGTCGTTTTCGAATGGTGACTCTCGCTTCAGCGCCGCTCGCACTCGTTTGACACACATTGGAAGGGTGTCACGGATTGAGGGCGAATGGCTCTCGCCTTAGCGCCGCGCTCGCTCGTTCCAAAAAGTTGCAAGGGTTTCACGGATTGAAGGCGGGAGGTTTTCAAAATGTGCCTCTCGCGTTTGCGCCGCGCGCATTCGTTGGACAAATGTGAAGGAGTTTCACTGATTCCCAGGATCAGAGTACCAAAAACTGCGTTTTGGAAGGATTCAGGATTATGCGGGCGCAACATGTATGTTGATTCGCGGTGTTGAAGTCCCCAAAATAACGTTCCAGAACGATTTGTTATCGTCAGGACGCAGCAGTCAGGTTGATACGTGGCGTTGAAATCCCGAGAGCAATGTTTTGGCACGCTTCAGGATCTTCAAACAGTTGTCTTCCAACGAGGCAGTTCCCTCAATGGAAATGAACCGTTGTAGTGGCCTACGAAGAGGGAGCTTGGAGGGAGGGTTCATTCCAACATTGTTGATGACTCTTGGGTTTACCCTGGTCCTCCTCCTCCTCCTCCTCTGCCTCCCTCCTTCTGTTCCGCTGGCTGTCTTGGATAGGCCAAGGTGTGAGTGCAAACCACCTGGAGACATCGCGGAGAAGCGTTTGATCTGCAACAGGGTGCCAGAGGGTGCCGAGCTATGGCCCGAGGCCGTGACGTCGCTTGCGCACCAGCTCGCAGTCGAGCGCCGCAGCGAGGCAGCAGCGAGTTAAAAATAAACGTTTGAGACAGCTGGGCGATCGACTGGCCCTGCCCAAACCAACATCCTCTCGTCCTCCTCCTCCTCCTCCTCCTCCTCCTTCCTGCAGCAGGCGACGTCCGCCCCAATCGCAGAAGGCATTGCTAGTAACCAGTGCCCGCGTGGAAACATCACGCAAGCTTCAGCTACATAGGCAGATGAACGCAAGTGAAAGATTTGGTATAACCGCTTGCTTGGCGCACCCAGAACGATCTGATTCGGATCAACCGCCGACTGGATTTCAATGAAATATCACCCATGTCCAGGCGCGGAATACGCAGGAAGAGTAGAATCAATGGTATCGTCTACGCTAGACGCGGCGACCCGCAGCGTCTGATGCATCAGGCTGAATTTCGTACCAAAGGTCTTCTTGAGCTTCCCCTGATCATCAAGTCCAACACAAGCTTGGAACACTAAGTTCATGCACTCCCGACTATCGTTGAACAGCAAGTTCTGGTACGCTGGATCCTTACTCGCATTGTTGAATGCATTGATGAATAGCTTCGCGTAGTTAACGCAAAACCTCAATGGGTAAGGGTGCATCTTGCTAATCATCTGGAGCTCCACTGGCAAAACTGTGATAAGTTCGCAGCCCAGTGTGGATGCCGTGAACGGCCTGGACACCAGCGACACCTTGGACCACAGCGTCTCCTCGCAAGCCCACTGGCCAACTTTCACCTCCAAACTTGGTATGTCAGTCGTGTCGTCGTTGTAAAACACGGACCCGGCCCGCACGAATAGCATCCGATTCACCACCTGGCCGTTCCAGAACAGCTCCTCCTGCGGAAGCATTGAGATTTCCTCTGTAGCGTTGCAGCAAATCTGCCGCATACCCACGGGGCAGATCACCATGTAGAAGTCGAAGAAGGGATGCACCTTAAGGAATGGCATAAGCGCCTCGCAGCGTAGATCTTCATAGATGAACTTGGGCAATGTATTACTGAATGGGATGTCCGTTCCTTTTATGCGTTTGGATGCCATCCTCTGGTGCTGTGTGATGAAATGGCGGCAACGTGAAGCCAACTCCCGAGAAATCCGGAACTCGCTGAAATACTTTGCCATGAACATTTCCTGCTCTATCTTGCGCACATGAATCGAGCGAAGATTGGTCATCGCATGAGTGATACTCGACACGAACGAGGAAAAGAACACCATGGCCACGACGATCACAACGCAGGTGAAAAGACGCTCGTTAACGTTTGTCGGAACCACCTCCATTGATGCAGGCGTGAATTGAGTGATCGCCCAATGCATCGCGGTCCGCCGCAACGACCCTGGAACGTTGAGGCGTGGTCGAATGCCCAGGACTGTACTGGTAGGGTTTCTGTATTCGGCTACGGACCCCCTCCTCTCTGCCCGAACTTCGCTACATATGCACTCCTCTCTGCCCACCCCACCACACAGAAGACTCATGGGCGCCTCGCCTCCCCAACGCTCTCCAAGGCGTCCACGAAGGCTGCCGAATTGGCCGAAGATCGCCCCAATGCGCACCCAAGAGGCCCCAAGAGACGCCCAAAGGACTCCCACGAGGCCCCCACGAGGCCCCCAAGAGACTGCAGAAGGCCGCCAAGACGCCCCCCCGGAGGACCCAGGGAGGCCACAAGCATTGAACTCGAATGTCCCCCCACGAGTGCTTGCACACAGAGCTTCTGCACTGCACCCGCTCATCGTGGCACACACCGATCCTGCTTTGCAGCTGATGCCCGCCCGTGGGCGCCTCGCGAGCGCCCCGTGCGCCGACCGGGACTTCGGGATCCTCGGCCGGCGCCCGCCCCGGGGCCGCACCGTGGGCGCCACGGGCCACGGGATCTCCAGGTGTTCGCCCCGCGGCGCCCTGTGGGCGCCCGATTCCTGGCTGGGACTTTCTGGTAGATCCTCTAGGGGGCCCCATGCGAGGCCCTGCCCCCCACGATTTCCGAGGTGGAGGGTGGGGTTCACTTCGCTCGGGCGCTCCCGAGCGAAGTGCACCCCACCCTGCCCCTCAGAAATCGTGCGGGGTAGGGGCAGGGTTCGCATGAGGCCTTCTCCCCCCCATGCCGAATTCGGACTAACCCCCCCCCCCGTCCGCGCGGTGGTTTCGCATACTTGTTATGCACGAGCTTTCTCTTCCCCAAGCAGTACTGGCACCCGAGGGGCCTGACTAGACTTTCTAAGCGATTGGGCTGGTCCGCCGAAGTTTCGCCTCGTTGCCGCTCGTGGGCGCCTCGTGGGCGCCCCGCGCCTCGCGCGGGTCCGCCAGGGTTTCGCCACGCTCCCCCCCCGTGGGCGCTCAGAGAGCGCCTCGTGCCCTAGGCGGGTGCGGATTTCGCCCCTCTGCCCTGGGTGGGCACACGCAGCTCGCACAACATAGCCTGCACAGCACAGCTCACTCCTCAGGGCTTCGGCCGCACAGCGTCACTCCGCATAGCTGATACATCATGGCTCGCACCACGCAGCTGAAACCACGCGGCTGGCCGCGGCTTACTCCACAAAAACCGCACCACACGGCTTCCACCGCATAGCTTGCTCCGCAAATCTTTCACCGCCGATCTGCGGCCGCTCAGCAAAGTAGACCTCGTTCCCCAAGCAGTGCTTGCCCCGAGGGGTTCCTGCGAAGGTTCCCTGTGGCCCTGGCTGGGTGTGCCGAGGTTGCGCCTGGCGCCCGCCCGTGGCGGCCCCGTGGCCGCCCCGTGGGCGCCTCGTGCGCTGGGCGGGTGTGCCGAGGCCTCGGCTGGTGCGCGCAATGGGCCGCCTGCTGGGCGCCTCGTGGGCTGGGCAAGTGCGCTGTGGTTCTGCTGGGTGCCCGGCCGCGAGCGCTTCGTGGGCGCCTCGTGCGACGGGCGGCCTGTTAGATTGCACTGCGCTGCTTGCACCAAAGAGCTTGCACCAAACAACTCGCACAGCGCAGCCTACACTAGATAGCTTACACGACAAGGCTTGCACCACAAGCTGGCACCCAGAGATGCCACCGTACAGCTGACACCGCACCGCTTACATCACCTGGCTCACACTACATGGCTTGCACCGCATACCTTGCACGTGCAGGTTGCCTACGTGCACGATATCAGCCACTGGGCTTTGTGCCCAGTGGGCGAGTTGGACTTCTTGCTATTGTCTCGGAGGTTTCTGCAACTACGCAGCACGCAGCCCTCGAACATCGTCCCCTCTGACATTAATTTTCGGCTGTCTTTTCGGCTTCAAAGCGGCGAGTCTGGCCGCCAGAACGGCTTCTCAGCCAGTCAAGAAGACACCACAACGGCTCCAGATGGCGCAAGACGGCTCAAGAGACCCTAAAGACGACATCGAAACGGGCCAAGAAACCCCCAAGGCGGCCTGAGAGGGCTCTAACATGCTCTCCAGGAGAGCCCGAGGAGGCCAAAGCCAGTGATAGTATAACGGGTTTGGGAGGATTGGGAAATTCTCGCCTTTTTGGGTTTCCGACCGCCCAAGACGGCCCAAGGGGCCTCCAGGATAGCTCCAATGTAGCCCAGGGCCCCGAGTCGGCTCAAGAGGACCATCAGATCGTCAAAGAGGATCCCAAGAGGGCCCCAAGACGGGCCTCAAGCGCTATACGAGGGCACCCAGACGGTCCAGAGAAACCCCCAAGACGACCCTCGAAGGCGTCAGACGGGCCAGTCGCCTCCATAGACGGCCCGAGAAGCCCCAAGAGGCCCCCAAGAGGCCCCAGGAGGCCTTATGAGGCCCCTAAGAGGCCACGCAGGAGGCGCCCACGAGGCCCCCAGGACGCTCCAAGAGGACACCGAGAAGCTTCTCCTCCTCGGCCTCACCGTATCCCTCTCTCCCTTCTCTCCCTCCAGGACGATGCCAGGATCATGCATGCCCCAATTCTGACTACTCGCTGCACTGCCGCGGGGTGCGACCTCGACCTCCTTCCTACCGCGCGGGCATCAACGAGGTCGAATCCACGACCCGTCCTTATCAGACCACTCGTCGGAAGTCCGCTGTTCCTACACCGAGCCTCTGTCCTGCTGCGGGTTTGCACGGGCGCGGTAGCGGTGTTTGCCGCAGGGAGCTGGGCAGTTCATACACTCACGATGAAAATGCTAAATGTCTGTTGTCCACGCGTGCACACGACAAGCCATGTGTTTGCCAGCGTAGGCCCCGCACAATGGACTGTATCAATGTGGGCACGCGGTGCAATCTATGAGTGCAGGCTGTTTGATGTAATCAGAGTTTCCTAAACAATGCGCTTGCACACACTACACACACCTTTCCGAAGAAACGGATAGGTGACCCGCCGGACACGGAATCCCTCAGACGACGGCGTCCCCCAATGTGTCCACCTGCCTCCTGTTGCCTCCCATTGTCTTGCATGGTCTCCCGTTGCCCCCCTGTGGTCTTCCATGATCTATCCGTGTCCCTACCCCGATGGCTGTGTACACATATAGATCTATGTATGCACAAACATCCTCCCGTTGTCTCCCATTGTCACGACATCGTCTCGCATTCGCTCCCGTTGCTCCCAATCGTCTATCCACATTCGCATCCCTATCTCATGCCTCGCGATCTCTCTCTCTCTCTCTCTCGATAAAAGATGCCTCTCCCTATCCCGACCCTCTGTCTCTATCCCTATCCTTACCCTTATCACGTTTCCATTATCACTACCCATATCCCTATCCCCATCCATATCCCCATTCCAATCCCTACCCCTGCCCCTACGCCACTGTAGCTATACTCCTAGGCCTTGATCCCTATCCCTACTATTCCTGATCCCTCCATCGTGGCCCCCCATCGTGACCCCTCATCATGGCCCACATCGTAACTGAGCAAACCTGTTTAGAGTAGTCTGCCGAAAGGGCGTCAGGATGTAAGCTGCGAGGTGCTACACATGTGATGTCATGTGTGTGGTGCTAGCACGTGGCGTAAGCCACGTGGTGCAAGCTATGTGGTGTGAGCTACGTGGCGCAAGCTGTGCGGTGCAAGCCACTTATGTGGTGCAAGCTGTGCGCTGCAACGTGCAATTTGCAATACATGTGGTGCAAGCTGCACTGAAGGGGCCCCAGGACACACAAATAAATACACACAAATTAAAATATTCCCCATATTTTCCCATATTCTCTGGGTTTCTGTCTTCCCCCCCACTTCCCATATTTTCCCATATTTTCCTGGGAGTCGACGATTAATTGTGTGTGTGTGTTTTTCCCCTCCTGATGCACGTGCTATGCAGTGCACGCTGTGTGGTGCAAGCTGCAAGCTCTGAGGGCGCCCGGCGCACGAGGCGCCCACAGGGCACCCACGGGCGGGCACCGGGCGAAACCTTGGAGAGCGTTTCTTTATGTTCGGCGATGACGGGCGTCATAGGGGGGGGGGGGCGGGCGGGCTCCTCCTCCTCCTCCTCCTCCCTCCTCCTCCTCCTCCTCCTCCTCCTCCTCCTCCTCCTCCTCCTCCTCCTCCTCCTCCTCCTCCTCCTCCTCCTCCTCCTCCTCCTCCTCCTCCTCCTCCTCCTCCTCCTCCTCCTCCTCCTCCTCCTCCTCCTCCTCCTCCTCCTCCTCCTCCTCCTCCTCCTCCTCTTCCGGGGGGTATGACGTAACGCCCTCGTGTGGTGTGGTGTACACTGGCGCTGTGGTGCACGCAGGCACTGTGGTGTACACAGGCGTTGTGGTGCAGATCGCCGCCGACATGCTGGTGCTACCCGTCCTCCGTCACTCCTAGGCATTCCCAGACGCCGCCGGCGCGAAACATGATGTCTCCGACTCCCTCCACACCCCCTCAGATGATTGCCGTGATCGGCCCGGAACAAATAACAGGCTCCAGCCGCGTCCGTGCGCACGACGACGATGAGCGACGAGCCACGAGCGATGACGACGACGACGACGACGACGACGACGACGACGACGACGACGACGACGACGACGACGACGACGACGACGACGACGACGACGACGACTGCGGACCAGACTCCCTTTCGGATTCAGACGTGGACGCCTACGCGGATCCCAGCGCGCAAGGCGGCAGTGCCTGGAGCGCACTGGGGGGGGGGGAGCGTTACGTAATGGGGGGAGGGGGGAGCGGGGGCCATGACGCCCGTCATGCCCCAAGCAACAAAGAACTGGTCTCTTGGCCCCCCCCCCCCCGGCGCACGAGGCGCCCGTGAGGCGCCCACCACGCGCCCACGGGCGGGCACCAGCCGGAGCCTCGGCGCACCCACCCGGCGCACGAGACGCCCACGACGCGCCCACGGGCGAGCACCGGGCGAAGCCTCGGCACGCGGACTCGGCACGAGGCGTGCACGAGGCCTTGCAGGGGCGGCCCCGGGCGGGCACGATGCGCGCGG